CTTTGTATAAATCTTTCCTTAATTAAACATAGGTGATCAGGCTATGTTTAATTGAGGTCCAACGATACAATTCCCGACCTAATTATATTAGTAATATGTTTGATGTAAAAAGAATTTTTATAAGTTTTGGTTATAGGTTGTGTTTTCTTAAAGGAAAACTGATGTTCTCTATAACTTTAGCTCTGATACCATTTCTGTCACACCCCGCTAAAGCGGAAACGCAAGGTATGACAGCGATAACGGTTTCATTGCAAAAGATAATGATACATCACCATAGCATATTTAAAAGTTTACAACCCATAGCTTAAAAAGAAACAAAATACAAGTTTTTCCAAAATAACACTGTTCAAAGAAAACTCCACAAATAACTTCAACACGATGCAGCATGCTCTATGATGATGAATCTTTATATCCACTTACTAATTATTTCCTGAAAAAGCATGTAAAACGAGCGTCAACTATGAAAATAGTTGGTGAGTTCACAAGTTTATAAAATCGAGCTTGAAATAAGGCTTTTCGTAAATACAAGTACATTGCTTTAATGATAAACAAAGTTGATTGCTATTAATGAATACAAGTTTATTGCTATAACGAGAACGAGTTTGTATGTGTATGAGCAAACAATGAGTCTCAACCAAACCTATGACTGAAGCCCTATCGAGATCTATGCTTATCGTTCCATAGATGAATATGGTATCATGCACTCCAGCAATAGGGCGAGTGAGGAGTTGTCAATTCCTAATAGCGCTATCCATAATGACCATTGGCTCAAAGAGTTAATGGTTAGAGATAAGGGAAGGGCCTTAGTACGATAAGTTCTCATGTTCCGTGATGCATAGACATACATAGAGAGACATAGCAATAAAATAGCAATCATGTTTGATACAAATCAATTTAAATACAACATTCAAATAATAGTTTTTCGGGACATGCTTTTCCACCCCAAAACATAAAAACTGAAAATAGGGGAGTGCGTGAATACTCACAACGTTTCGAGTAGGTACAAGTGGTACTTCGGAATGCACCAACGTCTTACTACCGGGATCCTACGACATCAAACACACACTAGTGAGTTTCCATGTCGAAATCTAATGCTAATATACTAAATTCTACATATAGTGAAATGCCAATTTATGTTTTAGTATTTGATTTTATATTAATTGGTTACACTTTTTCTGAAATAATGAAATTCTACAAATCGTGCGATTAATTACAACATTGGAATATAAATTTTCCAAATTTTTAAGTCCTTATTACAACATAAATTCACGGAAATAGCATTCAAAGGATAAAAAATCTCAAACTTTTTATTTAACTGTTATTACACAATACTAAGCTGGGAAAATTATAAAAATGGATTTCCAAGCTGTTTAATTATATTTTATGATTTTTGAGCATTTATTCCAATAAAAATTGAAATAAATAGAAAACAGTTTCCAAAATTACCCAAACTTTTTATTTAACTGTTATTATACATAAATAGGCTGGGAAAAATATAAAAGATATTTTTCAGTGGGTATTTCTATTTTTCCTTGTTTTATTCCTTTAAATAATCTTTAATTGAAGAAATAATATTAAACAGTTAAAATAAATTACCAAAAATTTTTGTAACATCATTTACAGTATAAATAACCTGAGAAAAATATCAAAAGTGGTCTTCATATTATATAATCCGGTTTTGGGTATTTATGTGTATTTAAGTGTAATTAACTTTAGAAATTAAGAGAAAAATAGTTTACAGTGGAGAAAAATCCTTACAATTTTTATGTAACCTCCTACTGTACAACAGGATGTTCTGGTAAATTTTCATGAATTTTGGATAATCAGAACTATTTTTCCTATTTTTAAACCATTATAATTACCAAAAATTGGGAAAAATAGCAAGGCATGATGAAAAATGTTGAAATTATTTTTCTGAGTCATCCATCACAGGTAAGGTATGCGAAAATTGTTAGATAAAATTTTTTACACTCTCCAAAGTGGTTTTGTGATTTATTATACCCTAACAAAAAGAAAATTGGAAATCATACCAAACAGCAACAAAAATTGATGAACTTTAGTGAGGGGTCATTATCCATCATAAGGGTCATTCATGAATTTGTTCCGGATTTATTGACCTCTGGAAGTATTTTATGTGATTTATGCCCTTGGTTTCTAGCAATAATTTTAATAAATCAAAGAAATAATAAAAGCTTTTGGTATTTTACAGATTATCACATGCATGTGAGGGCTTTCAAAAGGAAAAATGTTCGAAATTTATTCAGAAGGGAAATAGGGGTATTGAACCCAAACAAGATAAGAAATGTTGCATGCAATGGTGCATGAGATGTAAATGTGGCTGAAGTTCATGAATTTGTGAAGCACATTCTGTGGGGTTTTAAGCCACGAAATTTCAGCCATCATTCACTGGATATGTTAAGTTTCTAAAGTATTTTTCCCCAGATTTATGGTTGGGTTTAAGGCCATTGATCATGCAAGGCAAAAATGGTGATCATAGAAAAAGAGCTGTTTGCGCAACCATTTTGTAAAAATTGCCAAAAATCGGATATTTAATATTTTACAGTGAGACCAGTTGGGTTTGAAAGTTAACTCATGGAATTATCCAATACAAAAAGAATATCATGATTTGGTTAAGAAATGACCGAGATATGGTCGTTCAAAGCTGAATAAAGTAATCTGGCAGATTGCATGTTTGCTTTGAGTGCATCCTTAGGACATTTTGACAAGAACATCATGCATGCCTTTGATAAGGTCCGATTTCTAGCACATGCATGGAGCGAATGAGCATCCAAGATGTACTAGAAATGGTTTAAATGCTTTTGATCATGCAAGAACACAAAAGAAATGGAGAAGAAGATGTAATACTTGTTTTTGAAGTCACATGAACATATGTGCATCATTTTCACTCCTTGCATGGGTTTGATCCCGGATTTTCACCATTTCAAACACATGCATTGTGTTATGGTGAGAATCTACAAACCACAAGGGAAAAATAAAGATTTCTAGCCATGGAAAGGCATAGAATCCGAAAAGAAGAGAAAACTAAGAAGAAGAGGAAGTAGAATCATGAAATTATGGAAGAAGATGTTGTTGTTTACCTTGGTTTTGATCTTGAGGGAAGTAAGAACACTTCAAAGTCTTCAAAATCTCGAAATTTGGCAGAGGAATGAGAGAAATTTCGTGAGTTAGAGAGAGAGAGGAAGAGAGTTTGTGTGTTAGGAGGGTGGAGTGTGAGAGAGTGAAGAGAAAAAGAGGTAGTGTGAAGGTTTAAGCTTAATGATTGAGTTTTGGGAAGAGAGAGGGCATGGGGAGGGGAGAATGGCCAGATTTTTGAGTAGATTAGGGCCTTCTCTCTCCTCAATTCAAATTTTATAAAAATCCCTCCTTAATTTTTATAAAAACCCTAATTTTTATAAAAGTGATTTTTTAAGCAATTTGATTTATTTAAAAATCTTGTTTTTAACTAATTAATTATGATTAATGCATGATAATTTATATTTCTATTTCATTGGTATAATCCATAATTTGATTAATAAAATTTGATATTTGGAAGTTTATAGCCAAATTTTATAAAGTTTTTAAGCTTTAAGATTTATAAATTTGGATTTTGGGCTCTTTAGGGTTTTTGGAATATTGTTTGATGTTCATCATCATAATGAAGTATAATTAGAATATTTTAATTTATTTTTAGGGTTTTATACCCTTTTTCAATTATAACAAAGCTTGAAAGTTTCATTCAATTATAGCATTGGCGTTTCCTATTTTAGTTAAGCAACTTACTAGAATCGTAAGTGTCAAGTATATTAGTCCTAGGTCTTAGATGGATCCTAGTTTATGCAAGATTTTGACCTAATTTATACTACTAGGCCATGGCATGATGTGCATGAATGGTTATTATAAAGATGCATGACTCCGAGAATGACCTGAATTGACAGTTGTCACACTCCCCGAGGTGTATTGTACTATTAATACTACCTGGAGTCTGCATTTTTAATTCATTAACCGGCAGTGATACTGCTGGGGTAAAAAACTAATTTCCCAAGTACTTTACATGAACAAAGTTTAAAACTATATTTTCATACTAATAGTTTCACTGGGAAAACTTGTACATTTTCAAAGGATCAAACATCTCAACAACCGGGTCTTGGTAGAAGACTACTTTTACTGGAAAATATAGGATTTTCTAGGGATCATACTATTTTCAAAACATTGATAACAGCTTTTATATTACATGATTGTAAACACTTTTATACAAGCAATGACACTAAATACTTATGAACTCACCAGCTTTATGCTGATAAACTCTTTCAAAATAACTTGTATTCTCAGGTCATCAGTAGACAGGTACAGATGCAGCTTTTGAGAAGATGGAGCACATACAAGACTCATCTTTATTTTGATTATATTTTTGGTGTCTAACAAACTGTACAGAACACGCTTGTATTACAATTATTATCTTAATGCAATGGATGTTGTTGACTTGTCGTTACTATTATGCATTGTTATGATACTGTACATGAGCCGTTCTCGGTTTTGGGGTGCGACGACGACGACGACGACGCCGACGCCGACGCCGATGCCGCCGCCGCCGCCGCCGACGATGACGAGAAGAAGAAGAAGAAGAAGAAGAAGAAGAAGAAGAAGAAGAAGAACTAGAGGGTATCCCTCGCATTGTTACGGGCCATAAAAGACCATTTTGCCCTTGGGCCAAAACAGCAAAGATAGTGCACCACATGGACCAAAATGGTCATTTTAAAGATATTTACAGCTGGGTAGGTAAGATTAACGATTGAGGGACCAAAACCGTTATGAAACATCAAATTAAGGACAATATTTGCAAACAGATTCCTATAGGAACGAAAAGCAAAAAAAAGTCAGATAACTCAGGGATCATATCCATCTTTTAATCATATGAAAATATGTATTTGTAATCAACATCTAATCGATTGCTCCTACTGAAATTCAAAAGCAAAACCGAAAAAAAAAACAAAAACAGGAAGATGAAGAAGATGTTCGTTGTCGATACACCGAACACACAGCCTGATTCACGACTGTGGTTTGTTGGCTTCTTCTCCACCGATGACAAACAGAAGAGGTTATATGAACAAGGATAAAAGTGTAATTGTTTTGGTTGGTTTTCTTCTGATTTGAACTGTCAGACGCTTTCCTGAAAATTCAAAAGGAAGATGGCACAGGCAAGGAGTATCCTTTGGGAGCTGCCATTACGGCCACCAAAAATACTTTGATTCAAGGCAGTACAAAACACTTATTGTTAGATCATTTTTGATTCCACTCTCATACATACATACATACCATGAGTATTATTAATTAGTTGTTATTGATATTGTACAACTGACATGATTATTGTGTAGGTTTCCGTGTTGTTCTTGATCAAGAATTGGGATTGATATTGAAGCTAAGAGACATGATGATTGGTTGGATACATGAAGGGTTTCAGAGCTTCTTCAGGCAGCTTAATGATGAGCTACTATTGATCTCTGGACAAAATGTTAATGTTAATGTTAATGTTGTACAACAACACTAACAAGAGTTGCAGCAAGAGATGTTGCAAGGTGACAAGGTCCCTGTTGGGGTTGTACTTGTGATATCCCAGCCATATGTTTTCATTGAAAGAGAAGCCAACTCAAGAGTTACCTAGGCGAGGCAACAACTGCTTTTCTGTTTCTATCTTTTATATTTATATTTATTTTCATTATCATGACTTGTACATGTTACTTTTCAGAAAACCGGGTCCTCATTGTCATCGTCGGGTGGTGGTTATGATTTTGATCCCGCTGAAGTGCGTCACACCTTTAGAGCAGCTGGGGAAAGGTTCTTGCAACTGAAAACAGTTATGTATTTTGAAATCCATGAATGTAGGATTTTCATTTGTTCATGTCACAACATTCTACTTATGAAAAAAAAGTATCTTTATGACAATGTATCATACTTAATTTTTTTTGTAGCTAAACTTGATTTGTGTGATAATGTGTCACAACTGAAAGCTCTTTTGTTTCAGCTAAAGTTCAAGTCATTACTTGCCATCCCTTCCCCGTGGACAGCAGCCCAGTACACCAGGTGGCAAACCAATGATATGGAGGATTTTTATGACATAGTATCTGAAACAAGAAAGTGTCCATTTATAGCAATGTAGTATTAGGTTATATAGTTAGGGAAAACCTCTTAATAACAATGTACAATCTGATCCGCTCAACAACAACAACAACATTAATAATAATATGCATCTGCATCTTGTTGTGTTGACACCTAATTGGTGTTTGGTTGGTTTATCAGGCACTTTTAAGCTGCCAGACAACAAATATACCAATGGATATCTCCTGCAAATTATTCAACCGACTTCATATGTATTATTGCTTATGGACATAGTTAATTTCTCAGTAATACCGAGTGTGCCCAGAATGTGAGATGAATAAAACGTGTTGATGATGGCTTACTTTTACTTACAGGTTTTATATGGACTGATGTCCTCCTTATGGATGAAATCTTACCGGAGGCTGGTCTACAAGATTTTGGTTTTGAGGTCATCATCTATACTCTTTAGTCTTTACTATGTATCTATCTGTAAAATGTTGATGGGTTCAGGTTGCTTGTGTTGCTGTCAGTGAGTATGTTGCTAGCTCTTTTACCCATCTTCTTCATGAAATTTCTGGTTTGTCAGTCTCTCACTCTCTCTCTCTCTCTCTATATATATATATATATATATATATATATATATATATATATATATATATATAGAAAGAATTGTTTTAATATGAACAAGGATAAAAGTGTAATTGTTTTGGTTGGTTTTCTTCTGATTTGAACTGTCAGACACTTTCCTGAAAATTCAAAAGGAAGATGGCACAGGCAAGGAGTATCCTTTGGGAGCTGCCATTAAGGCCACCAAAAATACTTTGATTCAAGGCAGTACAAAACACTTATTGTTAGATCATTTTTTATTCCACTCTCATACATACATACATACCATGAGTATTATTAATTAGTTGCTATTGATATTGTACAACTGACATGATTATTGTGTAGGTTTCCGTGTTGTTCTTGATCAAGAATTGGGATTGATATTGAAGCTAAGAGACATGATGATTGGTTGGATACATGAAGGGTTTCAGAGCTTCTTCAGACAGCTTAATGATGAGTTACTATTGATCTCTGGACAAAATGTTAATGTTAATGTTAATGTTGTACAACAACACTAACAAGAGTTGCAGCAGGAGATGTTGCAAGGTGACAAGGTCCATGTTGGGGTTGTACTTGTGATATCCCTGCCATCTGTTTTCATTGAAAGAGAAACCAACTCAAGAGTTATCTAGGCGAGGCAACAACTGTTTTTATGTTTCTATCTTTTATATTTATATTTATTTTCATTATCATGACTTGTACATGTTACTTTTCAGAAAACCGGGTCCTCATTGTCATCGTCGGGTGGTGGTTATGCTTTTGATCCCGCTGAAGTGCGTCACACCTTTAGAGCAGCTGGGGAAAGGTTCTTGCAACTGAAAACAGTTATGTATTTTGAAATCCATGAATGTAGGATTTTCATTTGTTCATGTCACAACATTCTACTTATGAATAAAAAGTATCTTTATGACAATGTATCATACTTAATTTTTTTTTTTGTAGCTAAACTTGATTTGTGTGATAATGTGTCACAACTGAAAGCTCTTTTGTTTCAGCTAATGTTCAAGTCATTACTTGCCATCCCTTCCTGGTGTACTGCAGCCCAGTACACCAGCTGGCAAACCAATGATATGGAGGATTTTTATGACATGGTATCTGAAACAAGAAGGTGTCCATTTATAGCAATGTAGTATTAGGTTATATAGTTAGGGAAAACCTCTTAATAACAATGTACAATCAGATCCGTTTATTATCAATCTATTATAATTTTTTGACATGATGTTATATAATAATAATAATAATAATAATAATAATAATAATAATAATAATAATAATAATAATAATAATAATAATAATAACAACAACAACGACAACAACAACAACAACAACAACAACATTAATAATAATATGTATCTGGATCTTGTTGTGTTAACACCTAATTGGTCTTTGGTTGGTCTATCAGGCACTTTTAAGCTGCCAGACAACGAATACAGCAATGGATATCTCCAACAAAATTATTTAACTGACTTCATATGTATTATTACTTATGGACAGAGTTAATTTATCAGTAATACCGAGTGTTCCCAGAATGTGAGATGAATAAAACGTGTTGATGATGGCTTACTTTTATTTACAGGGTTTATATGGACTGATGTCCTCCTTATGGATGTAGTCTTACCAGAGGCTGGTCTACAAGATTTGTGTTTTGAGGTCATCATCTATACTCTTTAGTCTTTACTATGTATCTATCTATAAAATGTTGATGGGTTCAGGTTGCTTGTGTTGTTGTCAGTAACTATGTTGCTAGCTCTTTTACCCATCTTCTTCATGAAATTTCTGGTTTGTCATTCTCTCTCTCTCTCTCTCTATATATATATATATATATATATATATATATATATATATATATATATATATAGAATTATTTTTTTTAATATGAACAAGGATAAAAGTGTAATTGTTTTGGTTGGTTTTCTTCTGATTTGAACTGTCAGACACTTTCCTGAAAATTCAAAAGGAAGATGGCACAGGAATGGAGTATCCTTTGGGAGCTGCCCTTAAGGCCACCAAAAATACTTTGATTCAAGGCAGTACAAAACACTTATTGTTAGATCATTTTTTATTCCACTCTGATACATACATACATACTATGAGTATTATTAATTAGTTGTTATTGATATTGTACAACTGACATGATTATTGTGTAGGTTTCCGTGTTGTTCTTGATCAAGAATTGGGATTGATATTGAAGCTAAGACACATGATGATTGGTTGGATACATGAAGGGTTTCAGAGCTTCTTCAGACATCTTAATGATGAGTTACTATTGCTCTCTGGACAAAATGTTAATGTTAATGTTAATGTTGTACAACAACACCAACAAGAGCTGCAACAGGAGATGTTGCAAGGTGACAAGGTCCCTGTTGGGGTTGTACTTGTGATATCCCAGCCATCTGTTTTCATTGAAAGAGAAGCCAACTCAGGAGTTACCTAGGCGAGGCAACAACTGCTTTTCCGTTTCTATCTTTGATATTTATATTTATTTTCATTATCATGACTTGTACATGTTACTTTTCAGAAAATCGGGTCCTCATTGTCATCGTCGGGTGGTGGTTATGCTTTTGATCCTGCTGAAGTGCGTCACACCTTTAGAGCAGCTGGGGAAAGGTTCTTGCAACTGAAAACAGTTATGTATTTTGAAATCCATGAATGTAGGATTTTCATTTGCTCATGTCACAACTTTCTAATTATGAAAAAAAAGTATCTTTATGACAATGTATCATACTTAATTTTTTTTTTGTAGCTAAACTTGATTTGTGTGATAATGTGTCACAACTGAAAGCTCTTTTGTTTCAGCTAATGGTCAAGTCATTGCTTGCCATCCCTTCCCCGTGGACAGCAGCCCAGTACACCAGGTGGCAAACCAATGATATGGAGGATTTTTATGACATGGTATTTGAAACAAGAAGGTGTCCATTTATAGCAATGTAGTATTAGGTTATATAGTTAGGGAAAACCTCTTAATAACAATGTACAATCAGATTCATTTAATATCAATGTATTATAATTTTTTGACATGATGTTATAATAATAATAATAATAATAATAATAATAATAATAATAATAATAATAACAACAACAACAACACTAATAATAATAATATGCATCTGCATCTTGTTGTGTTGACACCTAATTGGTCTTTGGTTGGTTTATCAGGCACTTTTAAGCTGCCAGACAACAAATACAGCAATGGATATCTCCAACAAATCTATTGAACCGACTTCATATGTATTATTGATTATGGACAGAGTTAATTTATCAGTAATACCGAGTGTTCCCAGAATGTGAGATGAATAAAACGTGTTGATGATGGCTTACTTTTACTTACAGGGTTTATATGGACTGATGTCCTTCTTATGGATGAAGTCTTACAGGAGGCTGGTCTACAAGATTTTGGTTTTGAGGTCATCATCTATACTCTTTAGTATTTACTATGTATTTATCTATAAAATGTTGATGGGTTCATGTTGCTTGTGTTGTTGTCAGTGAGTATGTTGCTAGCTCTTTTACCCATCTTCTTCATGAAATTTCTGGTTTGTCAGTCTTTGTATATATATATATATATATATATATATATATATATATATACATATATATATATATATATATATATATATATATATATATATATATATATATATATATATATATATACTAGTAGTGGACCCGCGCAATGCTGCGGCGATGATTTATTTCATTTTAAAATGTAGTTTGTAGGCTGCGATTGCTTTCCTTTTGGCATGCGTCAAAACGTATGGGATAAATGTTGTTCCGGGATAAAAGTAAAAAATGATATGAGAATGCGGTGAACGGTGATTAGTTACTTTTTTAGCCGACAAATGGTTTATTTCAGCACGCCACAAAATATATTTATTATACAACAAATATTTTTCATTCTACTTATGATTTTCTTTGAAAACGTGTCAGTATGTTAAGTGAGTTAACAGATACATGGAACGAAGGATAGTTTCTTTTAACAATTAAGTTATTTTCGTTTGATGATGTATATGTTACTTTTAACGATTGCTTTTCTTTTCTTTTAGAAAACATTTCAAACTCAAGAACACACAATTTATCGGCAAAGATCATTTTAGCACCAAAATATATTTATAATACAACGGGATTGAATACGAAATCAACGTTTGTTTTAGGTTAAGATAAATGTATATTAATGTTCCTATACGATACAAAGTCTAAAATACCATATATATATATATATATATATATATATATATATATATATATATATTGTTGTAAATAATTGGTGGTGTTGTAAATAATTGGTGGATGACATAATAATTGGTGCATGGCAAATTTGTCAACATTTCTAACTAGTTACAATTATATGTTAGTAAAATTTGTAGTATAAATACCCCTCCATTGTAAAGAATGAAACACACCAATTTGAATACTTGATATAAGTTATCAAATTCTCTCCAAATCTCATTTCTTCTTTCTTAAAGGTTCTTAGTTTAGTTTTACTAATCTTGTTTTAATTACATCAAATTTATAACACGTTATCAGCACGAAAGCTCTAATCAAGGTTACTAAACAAGTGGAAAATCACATCTATCTTAATCAAGGTATGTATTACTTAGTAAAAACACTATTAATTATAAAAACCTCAATCATATTAAAATAATAATACTAATGAATTAATGAAACTTATACATTATGGACATTATGGACTACTAACAATTTTTATTTTTTATACTAACATTTCTTTATGTATTCTAATTTTTATACTAACATTTACATTATGCAACTAATTTTTATTTATGCAAACTAACATTTACATTATGCAATTAACTTTTATTTATGCATACTAACATTTATATTATGCTACTAACTTTTATTTATGCATACTAACATTTATATTATGCTACTAACTTTTATTTATGCATACTAACATTTATATTATGCTACTAACTTTTATTTGTGCATACTAACATTTAAATTATAATTATTTATACATGTCAATGTTTATTTATATTTTAGATACTCTTAATAATTTTATTTAAACATTTACTAATATTTATTTATGTTTCTAATTAATAAAGTTATGTATTAGTTATAAGTCTTATTATATGATTTATAAAATACATATACATATATACACAACGGGAATATATATGCAACGGTTATAAACGGCAAAAACAACGGCTATATTTTTTTGCCATAAATAAACATCTTTACCCTGCTTATTTTACCCACAACAAATTTTTCTCTCTTGTATCAAATAAATCAATTTCAAGAAATCAAGCTTCAAGATGATTCATCCTTTTGTGATAATCATGACTATAATAGTCATGTTACTTTTCATCCCAATCCTTAACATCGAAGATAATATGGAATTTCATCTACTTTTAGGCTTGTATGCAATGTTAGCTTTACCGCTTCTTTTTTGTGTAATATTTATTGAAATAAATGGACTTTAATTTTTATTTTTATTTTGTTTAAAATTTATAAGTTACATTATGTCCAACATTGCAAAGCTCGAGTTTGTAGCACTTGAAGTTAGTGGGAAAAACTATGTGCCATGGATGATAGATGTAAAAATGCATCTTGAATCCATGGGTATCTCAAATACTATATATGAATTTAATAATTGCTTGGCACAAGACAAAGCAAAAGCACAAGTTTTCCTTCGTAAGCATATTGATGAAATGTTGAGATTTGAATATCTTGATGTTACTGATCCAAGTATTCTCTAGAATCTTTTGAAAGAAATATTTGATCATCAAAAGGAAGTTATACTTCCAAATGCTAGAGATGAATGGAGAAAACTTACTCAACATTTCATGCAACAAACTTTACTTTGATGCAACAATATCGGATGCAAAAGTTCACAAGATATTCTGAACTGAATGCATGTCTGCAAGCAGAGCAAAACAATGAACTATTAATGAAAAACCATGAATCTCGTCCAACGGGATCAGTAGCACTTCCTGAAGAAAATGCTACACATATTGATGGTCATCGAAACAATACACGTGGTCGAGGGCGAGGCCGTGGCTATTTTAATCGAAACCAAAGCCATAATCAGAACCATAATTCTGGTCGTGGACAAGGTAATAATCGTGGTCGTGGCCAGAAAAGAAATAATTACCAATATTCACAAAGAAACAATGTCCACACACAAGATAAGGCCAAAGTGGCAAGGCATGACACTGAGACATCACAAAAATCTGATGGTTCATGTTATAGATGTGGTAGCACAGGCCATTGGTCAAGGACCTGTCGCACACCTGCACATCTTTGTCAACTTTATCAAGAGTCCATTAAAGGAAAAGGAAAAGAAGCAAACCTCATTGATAATGTTGAATTCACTCCACTAAATGTTACTGATTTCTACAATGACATGGAAGACATAAACTAAAAAAAAATATTATTGTTCTAGTAAAACTGTTTTTCCTTCGTTTGTTTTTCAGGTAATGTCTTTCCTACAATAAATGAGCTTTCTTTTTAATAATAATTATGATTATGTTTATTCACTTATTATTCCTTTTATATGTGAAGTTTAATATGAGTCCAACTGGAGCACAACAGATTGGAGATCTTTGTATAGCAGATAGTGGTAGTACACATACTATTCTGAAATCAAAGAAATATTTTTCAGAATTAGTACCAACAAAAACAGTCATACATACAATATCAGGTCCTGCAGACTTGATAGAGGGAACCGGGAAAGCCCATTTTATATTACCAAATGGTACAAACTTTTGTATAGAAAATGCCTTATTTTCTCCAAAGTCTAATAGAAACTTATTAAGTTTCAATGACATATATTTCAAAGGTTATGACACAAAAACTGTGACCATTGAAAATAAGAAATATATGTATATTATAGACAAAAACCATGTGCTTGAAAAACTACCAACACTTGATTCTGGTCTGCATTATACATATATACATATGATTGAATCAAATATGGTAGTAGAAGGAAAACATTGTGATCCTGGGACATTCAGTTTATGGCATGATAGGTTGGGCCACCCAGGATTAACAATGATGTGAAGGATAATTGAGAATACACATGGGCATCCATTGAAGGACCAAAAGTTCCCTCAATCCAATAGCATAAAACCATGTACATCTTGTTCCCTTGGAAAGTTAATTATAAAACACTCTCCAATGAAAGTTGAAAGGGAGTCACCTAGATTTCTAGAAAGAATTCAAGGTGATATATGTGGACCGATTCACCCACCATCTGGACCATTTAGATACTTTATGGTCTTAATAGATGCATCCAGCAAATGGTCTCATGTTTGCCTATTATCAACTCGTAATATGGCATTTGCAAAGTTTCTTGCCCAAATTATTAAATTAAGGGCACATTTCCCTGATTATACTATCAAAAGAGTGAGACTTGATAATGCTGGTGAATTTACCACAAGCATTTAATGACTATTGTATGTCTGTAGGAATTGTTGTTGAGCATCCAGTTGCTCATGTACACACACAAAATGGTTTAGCTGAATCACTGATTAAACGTCTCCAGCTAATAGCTAGACCATTGATAATGAGGACCAAACTTCATGTTTCTGTTTGGGGTCATGCAATCTTACATGCTGGATCATTGATACGTATGAGACCAAGTTCATATCATGTATATTCTCCTTTACAACTTGCTTTCGGTCAAGAGCCAAATATATCCCATTTGAGAATTTTTGGGTGTGCAGATTGTCAATTTGATGAGGCAAATTTCCCATCATTAGGTGGAGAAAAGAAGATTCTGGAAAAGGATGTGTCATGGCATGAGCCTACTTTATCATATCTTGACCCTCGCACAAAGCAATGTGACATGGAAGTTCAAAAGATAATGCATTTCCAAGAAATGGCAAATCAATTACCTGATGCATTTACTGACACAAAAAGGGTGACTAAATCATATATACCAGCTGTCAATGTTCCAGCTCGAATTGACATTCCACACGGACAATCTGATGATAAAGTCACTCAAGAGTCTAAAACACGCCTGAAGCGTGGAAGGCCATTTGGTTCTAAGGATAAGAACCCACGAAAAAGAAGAGGATCAGAAAATGCACTGGATCATGAGGAAAGTGTTCCTGTAGAGACACAAATTATTCAAATTCCCCCAGGAAAGGAGGATGATGCACAAAATCATGGTCAAACAAATAGAATACGTGACCACAATGAAACTGAAAATATAAGTGCAATATTTTCTTATTCAGTTGCATGTGATATTATGAATGATGATCCCGAACCACAATCTGTCATTGAATGTCAAAAAAGAAATGATTGGGCTAAATGGAAGGAAGCTATGC